ACGTTGATAGAGATAGATATTATGCCAAACAAAACTTTGGTCAATGGTTTAATACTGTTCCAAACACGAAACAAATCGGTGCATAGCAAGATTTTAAAAAGCGAATTTAAAATGAGGGGTTTGGTCGAAAAACAACTGTTGGAAGCCACCTTAAGTCCTAAAGTTAGCTTTTAAAGGTAGAGTTACTTAGAAAGTTAATTGGAGTCCCAATAAAGGCACTAGATACGATACAGCTTCTACTCGAGCAAACCCCTGATACTGACATTATGATGCRATTAAGGTGMCACCGAACAGTCTTTACATAGRTGAATTTGTTTTAAAAAYACTGCATTCTGCTTGTTTGTGACAACGTCCAWCGTGGATTCTTTCGAGGATCCATATACTCATCTCTAACAGAATGAGGATTCGGTCTCTATCATGAGTAATAGACCGTGCAGAATCGATAAAAAGTTCKTCTCTGAAGTGCCAGTATGGCTCTAATGAACTTGGCAGTCGATTTTTTTTTTTTTTTTTGTTAAATTCAAAAATGAAGGTCACGTGGCCAATGTTTACCCGCCATTAGCTATCTTTAAAAATTTGTGTTAGGCTTAACAATATGATAATGCTAAGGGTTAAGATTTGGTTTAAGGTTAGACTCGTGCAAAGAATAGATTCGGGCTTGGCACTAGGAACCTAGGGCTAATCACGTGACCAGCCTTCTTCAGCAAAATTTAATTCCATGGATGAGATCTGCACTCAACACTGACCATGATCCAAAGTCCGTTTGTTATCCTTAGATATGAAGACGACAACCACCCCCCCATATTTTGAAAAGGATAAAAAGGCCTTATTAAATGCTAGGTTTCAAGACAATACCTTACCGATAACCCTTTTGTGAAAATAATCAGACTTGTTGTAAAAACCTGTCCACAAAGGTTTGAAGCGAAATATAGCCAATTGCGAAATAGTATTTTTTGATTCAAGTTTTCACTCTGTAATCATTCATCCGAATACTTTTTCTTGTCATCAGATCCGTTTGTTGATCATTGTTTGAAACTGCTTGGAACTTGTGACTTATCAACAGCCCCTTTTTGAATTTCTATAAATTAACGCRAAAATTTCAGACACTTGCTAAATACTAAATCAGTTACTCAACAAGTTCTTAAACTACTTAAAAGTAGTTGTCAGAATATCTTGTTTTGTAAAGTACAGTTTAATCTAAATAAAGATAAATACAATTTGTGTAATGATGTACGTAGGTTTGGTCAACATGGCAGGCAATCTTCTGAGAATTAAGTTCTTGATTTGTATCGTTGGTTTGCTGACAGTCGATGTGGTCAAGTCGTTGAACGGAACGGACTCTTTGAACGGAACGGAATCTTTGAACGGAACGGACTCTTATAAAAGTAAGTCAAAAATAGCAGAGCAGAGCACTGAGCAAAGCAGTAGTGATATAAACGGTTTAGACACGTAGTAGCATTTAGCTTTTTACTTTGC